GACTACATTGTTTCAGTTGGTGGTGTGGATTGCAAGTGGCTTGGAGTGAATGAGGTACTGGAAAAACTCAAAAGCATGGGAGAGCAGCCCATTGAGATGGAGGTTGTCAGTTGCCAGGATACATCAGCGTCTATGGTATGTAATGAGGCAAATGGTTTGCAGACTGGGCATGGGAGTTTGGTTTGTTTTTTTTTTTCAGTTTCCTGGCTTCAGTCCCTGATTAATGTTTACTTTCATGCAGTCAGATATCCGGGTCCACCAGTGAATATATGAAGCATTCAGGCATGCATTTGGTTTTAAACAGTCTAAATCATCATGACTTAGGAAGCTAAAGTACAGTCTGCATGCATAAGAATGGTTGAGTGGTGAGGTTTTTTTGCAGTGGAGCTACTTAGATTAACTGCATTATAAATTCCAGGGCATATTTTATTTTCCCCTAACTTGTCCCAGAGGATGAAAATATTTCCCTGTCTGGTATTGGAAAAGCCACAATGAAACAATAATGCAGTGAAATAGAACATCCAAGACCACATGCTTATTTTCTATGCACCATTAACCTAAATGATCTGTGACTTTTGTATTAGGTCACCAATTAATGTATGTGTTTTTTATTTAGGTGGACTTTAACTGTCTAGTCAGCTACTAATCTGCTGTAGAAGCTTTAAGCTAAGGAAAAATGATCTCAAGATTAAAAAATGCTAAGCTTATTTGTAGTGTGAGAGAAGCTGTAGTTCAGCTAAGTCCACTGCTTCATCTAACATTCCCTGGCAAGCTTAGGTGCCTTAAAACTGATCAAGGTTCTCTTACTGTTGTTAGGTTTGTTGTTTTGAGAAGTTGATTCTCCTTATTGAAAATAAAGGATGGCATAGCTGCCATTCCAACCTGCTTCTGGAAACAAAGGGCTGGAATATAAAGAAATTGCTTCAGGGTACAGTTAAGAGAAGGCTGTGCCTTCCAGGTATCCTGAAAGAATGCTCTCCAGTAGCACCTGTCCACTGCAATCAGCATGGAACCTGTCTGAAGACAGCAAAAAGACCCCCCCTTCAGAGATCTCTGCAAGAACTACATACTTAAGCTTCCTATAGAAGTTAGTGTATATATCATGTAGTTAAGATAGAAGCCAGTAAGTGCTAACTATAACACAAACCCATGGAAAAGTCCCTTTATACTTTGCATAGTATACCCTGGATTCTCCATGGGCAAAATACCAGACTCACCACCCTCTGAAGGGCCTTGTGTTCAGATGGCATGTCATTAGCACAAAAAGCTTCCTGTCATCTGCCTTGAAAAACTATTTGCACAGTAACCTTTTGTTGTCTTCAAAATTTTGACCTATTTTGGGTGACTGATTCTTATAATGCTTTTCTCTACAGCATAGTAAGAGTGCAACTTACTCTGTGGGAATGCAGAAGACATACTCTTTGATCTGTTTAGCCATGGAAGAGGACAAGACTGATCAGACCAAGAAAGCCCCCCTGAAACTGCCTTTTTTAAGCTGGGGAACCAAAAACAGACAGAAAGCTGCAAGCACCCTCTGCCTGCCTTCAGCTGTGGCTGGAAGTTCTCAGGTTAAGAAGAAACTTTCTCCCTTTGCACTTCTGAATTCAGAAAGTTCATTGTACTGAATGTTTCAGAAGGACTTGTTAACATGCCCTATTTCTTTAAAATGTATATACAAGTATTGATCGATTTTTACCTTTATATATGTGTGTATAAATCCAGACAACTGCCCTTGACTTAATTTACTGTGTATTGAGCAACTATGAAGGTCAGAGGCTGGCAAAAACTGTAAAATGTAAGTATTTGACGGGTAGAATGAAGTAGCTTGGGAGGTATGCAATAACAAGTAGATAAAATGGCTTACGTGAGGACTGGATTCCTTTGGAATTTCAAAACACAGTATCATGACTAGTTTTTTTATAACTATGATAGACTGGAGTTATTTATTACAAACCTGATGCTGCATGCAAAACAATAGGGGACACTTGGAAGGATGATTTTGCTGTAAAAGTTGAGAGGCAATAATAAATCACTTAACACTATAAAGAATTACTGTAGCAAACTGCAGGTGAGAGAGAACATTATTCAGAGAAACTAGCCTTGTGCCAAGGGCCAGGGTCAGGCAGTTGCAGTTTTAACACGTAGACATTCTCTTCCTGAGAGGACTGGGTGTATTCTGCTGAATAGTTACTTTAATTCTGGAAGAGAATCAGAAGGCTTAGAAGTCAAAAGATCTTTTGAACTAGAAAAGACTCTTACTCTGCTCTTTTTCTGATCTAGGTTCTTTAAAATGCCTGCTGATTCTATTGTTAAAATCAGGCTTTATTCCAAACTTGAAGTTATTTAACCTACTCACTGTAAGACTTGTATCCTATTAGTCTTGAGGACACCAATATCTGTGAAATAATCTCAAAAGTGACACATTTTGGCATACTGATCCAGAGTACATAAATTGTGGTGATGCTTTAAAATATGATAAATTGAGTCTAAGTGGCAGAATATCTATTTACTATCACACCAAGTAAAAAAACAAATTATATAAAATCATCCTCCTCCCCTTGGAACAATTCATGAGCAAGTATTGGCTCCATGTAAAGGAGGGAGACAAAAAAAACTGAGCAATTTTTTGATTCTTCTATCTTCTGAAATTGAAATGATTGGAAATTGCTAACACTCTAGTGTTAGTTAACATTGCCATCTACAGAGTAGATATATGCTGTTTGATACTCAAAACTTAAGGGGAAAGTTTGTGTCTGGGTATAAACTTTAAAGTTGTCATTTGTTTTTAGTTTCTTATGTAATAGGTGTAAATATGTTGATGACACTTATTTAAGAATAAAAATCAGATGCCATTTAGTAATAGCTTTTTGATTCTGCTACAGCTTGGATGATACAGCATAATTTACAGGTTTTTATTCATGGCATACCTCTTGCATGATTCTGTAGTGTTGCTTACAAAGATCTAAGAAACTACCTTTCTTAAAACTTTATATTGTATAATACAGGAACTTAAAATTATAGTCTAAAACTTGCTTCCTTACAAAAACTGTTAACATTGTCAGTTTCCCTGTAAAGGGTACATAAAGTTGTAAATCCCTTGTGACTCACCCACCTTTAGTAGTTATTCTTCATGTGTATTTGTAGCAGCACTTTTTGCACACAGAAGCAGCAGCAGTCATATATGGGTATGCAAGACCCTGCCATGCAAGAGTCCTTACAGAAGAGATTTACTCTGAAGATCTCATTTTAGCCATATAGCCAAAGCTGCATGAATCACTCTTCCAGCTCTTCTTTTCTCTTAGCCCACCATGACAGTCTTCTTGCAGGTAACTTCCCCATTAGCTGCATATCCTGTCTTACTCTTTGCATCATGAGGAAAGGCTGGGGTGGGGGTGTGCTTTTTATTTAACCGACCCCCCCCTTCAAGTAAAAATTTGGGCTTTACAAATAGATACTTAATATTTTCTGTGTAAGATTCATTCTACACTGAATGGTAGCCAACAGCTAACTTCAGGCAAGTAGTAATTTCACAGCAAGTTACCTTCTTGCTTAGACCACAGGAATAGGTGGAACAAGTTTCTATCTGCAAGGCTACTGTAAACCCCTAAAAATAAAGGTTTGCAATGTATCAGTAGCTGTGCCTGTAACTCCATTAGTACTGTTAACACTTTAATGGAACCTCTGTTTAATACACCAACCAGATGGCTATTTGAAGTAGTAAAAAGGTGTTTGCTTTGCAACACCAATAGCCACATACCTTTAGATGTGAAATCCAGTCTCCTTAGCAAAGAGACAAAGTCCAAGAGAGAGAGAATAAAATCTAAACAAAGAGAATTATAAAGAAGCTTATTCCCTAGTTGTAAGCAGTATCTTGTTCTGTAGTTCTGGAAATTCTGGTGCTTATTGTTCAGCAAATCAAATATTTATGGCCAAATTTTAAGTATCTTTTTCATCCCTGGGAAGAAATCAACATAAATAACAGGTTTACCTGCTGTCCACACTAAGCAGAGGATGAGATTGATTACTAAGGTGTCAGGGTTCTATTTTTCACTTCTTTTTAGTTTATGAAACAGAGCTGAAACTCCTGCTTATCTGCCTTCCTGCTGTGATCCAAAACCCATGCCAGAGGAAAGAAGCTTTCACACACCTCCTTAATATGTGCAGAAGGCAATTCTACCTTTACTGAATATGATAAGAAGATAATTTTTAATGAAAAACATGATAGCAGGGAAACCAACCCTCCTCTTCACAAGTCTTGAAAATATTAATAGTGGAAGAACAGGGTGAATTATGAATAATAAACAAAGCTTCCCACATTACTTTCTTTGCAGCACATATTATAATTTATATATTAGTTTATAATTGTGTCAAAACATATTGTAATTTATTATAATTAGCCCAACCTGTATTCAAAAGTGCCAACATGAATTAACCAAATTCTAGATATTAGACATAAATTTGATAACACCCTGTGAACTGAAAAAGGAAGCAGAGAAATAAGTTGGTACAAAAGATGTATTCCAGTAGGACTTTCCAAAAGAACTCCAAAATGTTATAAACCAAAGCTATTTCTATAAAGCAATGTATGCTAGCTTTATTTTAGAGCACTGCAACTCACATTTCCAGTTACTGAGAAGATAACACCACCCACATGTTAACAATGTCATTTTTATTTCTGGAAGACAAAAGTAAGCAAGAAAATTGCTTTTCCTTTATTATTTTTTCCCCCCATGGATGCTAAAAGGAACAGCTTTCTCCCATTTTTTTTTGTACAAGATAGAAGCTAAACACTTCACAGCCCTCTTTCCAAGGTAATTTTCACAGCTCGATCTCAAAACAGCTGTAAACAAACAGGAGCAGAATAGTATCTAGTCAATTAGTCAACACCCTTCAGTTGTTCCCAAGGTTACAGAAATTGTCATGTGATTATTAAACCCGACATTTTATAATTCACACGAAACAAATAAAAAGTCTTTGTTTTGCAAAAACAGCACTACGAGTCAGGAACATAAAAAACTGTGGACTTGCTGTGCTACCGTTAGCCCAACTACGGGCTGCAGGTCCTGGACAGACGCGTTACAGAGCTGCTGGATGCTGCCGAACCGCTGCAGTAAGAGCAGCGCTTTTGTTTTCCCCACCCCTGGGATCTGTTGCACCGTCCGGAACAGCGACGGCTCTGCCAGCTGAGAACACTGTTTACGAAGAAAGGGGTTACTCCTGTGATCCTTACTTTGTTCACGGACCTGAAGCAAAACAAACCCAGGAGTGACATTGAGTGCCCTCTGCTGGAGCTCTGCTTTTCCCTTTAAAAAGCGTTTCTTTCATCTCAAAGAATTTAATGCAACCGCTAGGAAGTTGTACAAACAAACTCCCTCCTTAGGGCGCACCCTTATTAAGGGTGTCGATGCTGATCCACAGATTCTCACTGGGAAATCAACAGTCTTAATACCAGCCATTAATTAGAACAGTGATTTTCATCTTTTCCTCGCAGCCAGGGAAAGGATAAAGGAAAAGTGAAACTACCTAACGAGTTTCCCCAGCCTGGGACTGCAAAATCTCAGGCTGGCTTTGACACAGAAGTTGTGAGTCTTGCCTAATGCTATCAAGTGGCATCTCAGTGCAAGATCAAGTTAATAAAAAAAAAAATCTAGTAATTGTATATTTCAGCTTTTTTTCTTTGTTCCTAAACGAGCCCTCTTTCCACTGAATTATACCTCCATATTTCTGTTGCAGGATATTTATTCCTTACATGCAAACAACAAAATTTCTTTAAGATCCCAGGTATTCTTTCTGAAAGGAAGGCTGATTGTGGAAAAACGGGTCATTCTCCTCCTGTCCCATATTTTAATAAACGTTTGTCCACTAACATAGAAACTTACTAGCTGAGTAATAAGCTGAGAAGCTTCTCCTTGATTTGCCACGGGAAGCAACACCATTCCAAGCTCTAGCACAACAAGCTTTTGTACTGCTAAGAAGTACTGATCGCTTAGTTGGGTTTTCTCTACGATTACAATTCCCCGAAGGCTGCTGACCTGTATTGAAAGGAAAAAAGAGAAGACCTTGTTAACGACAAGATGATGCAATGCAAAGGAGAGAAAACTTCTGCCAAGTATGAGCTGCCTGAAAGCAAAGCAGGAGAGTAAAAGCTGCAAGAACAGCACTGAGGTTTAATACAGCATTACACAGAGGCATAATTTTCCAGTTTTCAGGTGGAAATCTTCACAAACGTTTAGCTCCACTAGAATTTAAAAAGTAAAAAAAAAAATACCAGAAGAATTTTTCTTCTTCTGAACAGAAGTTTCCAGAAGCATGGACTGAACAGTTACCAACTGAACACTTTTCATTTTCTCTTTCTGTACTACTTACATTTCTAAACCGAACCAATCTTCGTTTGAATTCATCCCCTGCAACCATATCTGCTTCAGAAACATATAAAATGCAAGTTCTGTTTGAAAGATGAAAATCCACAATTCCCAAGCCATCTTCAAAGGTGAGTCTAATTTTCCCTTAAGGTAAAGGTTTTAAAAGAAAAAATATAGTAGTTAAAAACATACTAAAAATCATTTGACAGCACAGCCTTCCAAATGTGTCAATAATTCCAATGAACTCAACAAAGAACTTCATATTCCTTAAAAGCCTTTCCTTTCTTTCAGCAAAACTGGTATAAGCAATCTAAAGTACTGTGTGATGCCTTTAGTGTTGGCAATTAATAGCCCTTCCAAACGACAGATTTGAAAGTGCTACAGCTTCTCAGTAAATTCTGGCCTTGAATAAAACCATCACATGCTATCCTGAAAGGATCAAAATAGACAGATAGGATTTTCCAGCCTGCACCACAAATAGGGGACCAGTCAGGCACAGACTAAAGCACATTCCAGCCCATCTTAACAATACCGAGTGGCAGAGGTGAATGCTTTTCCTAAATTGTTTTCCCTCTTCCAATTTGTTTGTGCTTACCTTGTAGCCTCTCGGCTATCTCTGACCCTCTCCACTTCTCATTTCCAACCACCTGCCCGAAAGGGACAACTATAGATCCTGCTGTCACAGGAAAATTTGCTGTCGTGGTCATCAGGCCTCCAAAACTTCAGTAGCAGCCACACTATAGAAAGAAACACCGAAGAGATATTAACAGATCTTATAAACACATTTCAAATAATTTTATGATTAAAGTTTAGAAGATGTAATACTCTGGAAGAAAGCCTATCTGATCCCCAAAACTAGGTTACCATTATGGTTAACATCTCAAAATGAGTAACCATGTTTACTTGAATATAGGCTGTTGGCTTGCAAATTCTACTCCCAACCTGGCCAGGCAATCTGAAAAACACCTGCGTTAAGACAGATAGATGCTAAAAAAACCCCACTGCCTTTCTATGTCTCCATTCACCCTCGCTGGGAGAAAGTCTGCTTCAATTACAAAGCTGACTCCAGGGCCATCTCCAGCCCTCCACCGGCAGAAGTCTCCAGACAGACCGTTAGAAGGTGGATGGTTGGGAGAGGCTGTTTTCAGGTGTGCCAGGTTTAGTGTTCTCCCTTCAGGGGGAAGCGGGAGCCTCGGAGGCTAAGGCACCATCTAAGAAGAGGCG